CGGAGCTCGTACAATGTTCACGGAGCACCAACCATTTTTATCCACTTACCCACATCTTGTTATCAGTTTAATGACTCAGAGAAGTTCGCCTACAACTCCTCATTGATCCACAAGGTGATAAGCTAGCACCAGGGGTGATAGTTCGTGGAAATAAGAGACATAAATATATGAAGTAAGAGAGCTACCAACTACTACCGAAATACAATAAAATCTGGTTTCGCCTACAGTTTGCATAGCCTCTGTTTGCTTTCATGTTATGCTCACGGCTATCATACATGCCATGACTTTCAACATGTCAGCACACTGCTGAGGAGGGGGTAAAGGGTCAGAGTCAACTGTCCACTCGCTCGAATTGGGGGTGAGGTTGTATTAGGTTGTCGGAAAAGTCCTTACGCTTTGGGATCGTTTTGAAACATTCTCTGTTAAATGCATGTGAGCGGTGGTTGATGCTCTCTCCACAGCATTTCTGTCGTAGCATTTTGCAGCGTTTGAAGCCTAAAAATCGTTTTCACTGAAGGTATGTTCGACTGCTACTGCCTTTATAAGCCCACAAAATGAGAAACTTGAGAAAAAATCTCAAATCTGGTCGGCCTGCCACCCTCAGTGACGAGTGTATTCTGAAGTCGATTGGAGGGAGTCCTTAGTGCAATGCACGGATAACTGGCGGAGCTTTTTCAGTGCTATCAGAGCACAATGGCCGTTCCTCAATATCGCCTCGAAAAGAAGTGAAATTATGGCGAAAGGATATTTTGTGATCTGACTGACCACAGGCTATTGAGACATAAAATTTTGCATGGACATTTTGATTTGCCGCCTGTCTCTCGCTTGATCCGCCAACTTTGTTGGTGGTGTCAAGAAGTGGGATCCTCAGATAAACCGCACGCGAAAGCACGACTGGCTCGGATGCGTGGAACAAAGGGTTGCAACGCCAAACTGCTGCTAACGAAGTCCACTGCTATTGGTGAACAATAATGTTGGCAAGTGGATCGGTTCCCGGCATGGTGCCCGGAAAATCTGAGAAACTTTACTTTATGTCGGCAACGCTCGCCCACGAATTACGAAGAAGGTTCAGGAAAAGTCTCAAGCTCGTTATGGAATGATCTGACCCACTTAGTGTGTACAGCAAACCTGGTAGAGACAGGCTACCATACGCCTCTGTTGCCGTCGAAGGTACTGAAATAGGGGCAGTCGATGATCCGGACCTACTCGGAGTCAACCTCTTCGAGCTTTTCGCCCCAAAGACTCGGGATTTCTGAACGGCCGGCAACCTGAAGTTGCCTGCTGAAGAGCAATGTTTCGACGATTATGGTGGTGTATGTATTCAACAATTGTTGGCTGCACTAAAGAAGAAAAACAATTTTGAAAAAAGTTGCCAAATGCGCACACTTTTTCGACAACCTAATATTTTGCTCATCGAGTGGGGGTTCCGACCCCAGAAGCCTTTGGCGGAAATCGCGGGATATTTTCATTGAGCGGTGGAGGGTAACGCTGTAATAAAACATGAACTTTTGTGAAAAGGTAGACCGCCATGTACTAGCTTTTGTTTGGTATGGAACTGGCATGAAGTCTGTCCTCTTATACTATGTCTTGAATTCCGGTCTTTCGATGGTCGCTGCACTTAGGCGCTTTCCTGTTGCCCATCGACACCAGAGTCAACCCTGCGTTGCGCAGTTCGCAACGGCACGTTGAGAGATCCTCAACGCACGCTGTATGGGCGGAGACACAGACGGCTCGAGCATGCGAGTGTGAATGTTCGCGCGAGAGAACGTGTCTAATCGGGCGAAACTGCGCAACGTGGCCGTTGAGAACTGCGCAACGCAGGGTTGACTCTGTACGACACCCCTCCTTGAAGTTGGCCCAACGAACGCTTGACCCTGCCCTCGGTCAGTGTCCATTTGCATGCAGATTCATGACTAACCCTACCATTGAGCATCTTACCGTAGTCTAACCATAAGACACAATTTAGAGCAATTATTCTCAGCTTAAGAACTATTGTATGCGTCATGTACGCTGTTTCTATCGCCACATTTATCATAATAGTTTTGGAACTTCGTACATAACAACAAAAAAAGAACGTCGCAACAGTTTTGAACAGTTAACGACGCACAATCACAGAAAACAGTGAGACATTCAACAACCAGTCAGCAGTTTGAGGGAAGTGAGACAATGACCATGGCAGTGAGGCCATCCCATCAGTACTTGTCAAAACTTCACTTTACACTATCGTCGGAACATTCTGGGTACGATGGCCCGAGTCGATGGTTCTCAAGGGAGTAGGCTGAACTAGTTGGAAGGCTCTAGTACGCCACCTATGCCATTGAGCATCCCACACTGTGAGCGATTTCCAGAATAAGCTTTACACATTGAAAATGAGAAGTACTGAGATGGCTTCACTGCATGGTGTGGTTTTGGCTCTATTCCAGCATACAACCGAGAGAGAGAGAGTTACATCAGATCATCTAAAACAAGTTCTGCCAAATGAAATGTTACGCAAACATCATATGATGTCGTCTTCACTGTCGTCGGACGCAGCGTTGAGAAGCAACTGATCAGCAGCAGCTTCAACTTGAGTTAACAGCGAGTAGCGTGTGGCACGATCGTCCCATCGCTCGAATATTACACCGTTTCCAAGACTGAAACACTGGCGTTCGACGACGACTTCTTGCTCGATAACACCACTGTTCGTTCTTGACACCGCAACGGTGATGAAACAGTGTTTGAGCTATCTGTTATGGCCGTGCATGCGGTCGAAGTGTTTGCTGTGTTCGGTTGCGATCGCACTTCAAACGCATATACACCTGATTGCCGTGTACGATACACTGAACCGTCTCCACCACTGAAAGCCAGCTATCATTCACAGAACTCACCTTACAACACGACTACCTCATCTTTAATACCATACATGCATCAGTTCCAGAAAAGGGTTAGTAGAGCGCTCCTAATGCAAGAAATATACATGCGTACATTTCTGCAAACTCTCCCCACATGTGTCCCTACGCCCTCTTGCCGCATTAAAATCTCATAACAAGAACGCCTTCCATGAAACCTCGCGTTTTTTCTCAGCCACTGTTACGTTGCAATACGGGAAAAGTGCGATGGCAGGTAGGATACTGTAGTTTAGAAGTGTTGGTAAGCGCACATACATCACAAGCGTGCAGTCCATTTGAAGTAGAATCCAGCTATGAGTTTAAACACCCGAAATTAAAACAATAGTGCGTGCCCTACCATGCATCCCCTATGCATCGAGAACTCAGTTAATCGACGAGGATAGAGGAAGTTAGATTGAATCAAAAAATGATTGGTGAGGAAGTCTCGCCACATACCACAAAGCGATTAGGCTGGAAAAAATAGCGTATCAGATTCACTTCAACCAAACGAAACCTTTCGAGAAAGATCTTTTTGTGTTACGAGACCTCTTCGTCAATCATTATAGTTAGAAATCCTCACAAACCTTGAGAATATGGGTAAAAACCACAATCTGCGGTCATAGCCAAAAACCTCTCTGTAGTTGGCGCGAATACCATGATCGAACGCGCGTTTATCAGGACCTCCTTCAAGCATGGGTGCACGGAAAGATTCTGAATCGATTTGTTAATCATCGGTAGATTATGGAAAAACAAAGGAACCAAGTCAAAGCAAAGTTAGACCGGAAATGTTGATGTCACTCATATAAAAGAAACAAAACGCACCAACTGTTGTCCTATTCCTCGCTGTTAAGTAGAGGTGATAAAAGAAGAGAAACGAAAGTGATATGGCAAACATTCCAGAAACAAAAACTAGGAACAGTATATGGATTTTGCTCGCCTAAAAGACAAAAAGAGATTTGTACTTACAGAAGAATGAAAAAGAACTTGATAAAATGCATTAGAAGCAAGCTGAGTTCAAGTGTGATGTAGATTAATTTCAAAAAGAGTCCCACAATTTACTCAAGGATGGTTAACATTATGAAATTAACACATTGCGTACCGCGTGCGCCACCATGTGGCGCACGATTTCGCACGAAACAGCATAGTTTTATCTGATTTATTTGACATTTTTCAATGCTCCTGAACTGTTTGCACTCATTTTCAGAGCCGGGAAACCATACGTGTCATCACTGATAAAATTGTTGATAGATTAATGATGATACATTTTTGAAAAATATAAAAAATATACGAAGGCACTCATACAACGGCGGTCCGCAATGTGTTCAAGAATTGGGTTAATTATTTAATCATGACTACTCATAAAATCCCTCGTTAACACATGTTTCATGCAAAATAAAAAGAAAAGCTTGCGGCGCTGATCAGCTCCGTTTCAAAAATGCGCCACGCAGAAAGACTCCAGTTAGAATCGTAGCCTTGCAAATGCGCAGGTGGCAATACGGTGAATTGCGCGATGAGTTATACAGCCAGTTTTTATCGTCACTGTGAAGTATGGGCTAATCGAAGGGATACAAGGGGTGGTAAATAAAGACGGTTGACCCTGGAATCGTACGCCTTTTCTACCAAAAGGTGCAACAAGGAAAGGCTTCCGCAAGATGGCGAGCTTGAATCGAGTTCTCTGATCGAGAGAAAGCTTCTGCTCACCAGCAAGAGATCAGATGAGCACATATGTGGATAAGGTATTTGAAAAAATTTGTTAAATTGTAAGATAAGGAAGCAACTTCATTGGGCTTTGAATTAAATAAAAAAAAACAGAACAGATCGACCTCTTGACAAAATATAATAGTGGGCTTAAATTACGATAGGATTCGCGACACTTACCTTCAGATTCCGTTCCAGATAATCTCGGGTCCAAAACTGTATAAAATATGGCAAGTCAGTGAAGAAGACAAAAATGCAAAAAACAAAACCATATCTGGAAAATTCAATGTAGAGAAAACATGGAATTATGAAAAAAATAACTCACCCAAGAAATAAGAGAAAAAACTTGTAGTTATAAAAATTGACACAGTTGTTCACCCATGGGCAATGATGATCAAACTTTCTGAAAGAAGAGTTGATCAGCTTTAATTTACGCAAAAAAAGAAAAACCCATACAAAAAATATGTCGGACAGCAAAGAGCTAAGCTTCCTTGGAAAATAAAAAAAAAGTTATGAAATACTTCAAAGCATCTCAAACAAAGACAAAACTACGTTCATGAAAATATAAAAAGTACAAGTGAAGTACCATTCTATAACACGAAATTACTTACAGTACACACTGTCCGCAAATGGAGCAATGGTGAGCGCGATCTGGCTTTATACACTTACATTTCGCACAAAACCGTATCCCTGAAACTGATTTTGGTATTTACAAAAATGAGCCAGATACAAGACGTGGCTAAAAAAATTAGCGACAAATCCCAAAAGGTTTCTGTATAAACAGAAATATGTAGCCCGAAAATGCTGTGAAGATGGTCCTAAGACACATTCATTTGACGAGATTCTTATTAGAGCATCCTAATTCTCAAAGAAAAGTAAGAATGCCGCATGTAAGGCGACTCAACATGGCTACACCTTGGCTGCACTTAAGAATTTTTTCAATACGAAAATCGTATAAAATCATTGTGTATTCATTCAGCCGAGTGCTCACGATCTCATTCAGATTACACTTCGTAGCATCAAAAAATTGAAAGGCAAACCTCTAGCGAAGTCCCTCGTTTTTATCGGGATCCTATTTCTTGCAACATATCGAGAGAGAATGGCTTGCTCCGACTGTTCATCATGTTCACAGCTTTCTAGCTCACTCAAGCAATCCTTGTCAGGGAAAAACTGAAACGAAGATATTCAGTGTTCGGCTCAGCGATCAGTGAAAACTTCTAATAGGCATTTTTCTGCGTATATCTTTGAAGGCTGGTTTTGCTTCCACATTCCAAATTTACAGAGCGAGTTCAAGGAATAAAGAATAAGAGGTATTTTCACAGTCAGGGGCAGGATCAATCCGTGCGTTCGCACTATTCGAAAGAGGGGGTCACATTTTTGGTTTTGAGAAGGGTCGCCTTCAGGGGTTGAGTGGGATTAGTGATTAGAGGGAATGGCAAGGCAATTTAGATTTGTTTTGTTTTTTGTTGAGTATGGAAGTGGCGTTGGAGCAGCGTGAGGTAGGATGGGTGGGAGTAGAGAAAATTTGCCGTTTTACTGCACTGATAAACCCCCCGCTCGACGGCGTTTTGGAGGAAAAGTGGGCGGAGTTGGGCTGTGTCGACTGATCTAGGAATCAAATACTATGGAGACAGCCATGATGGCGAGGATAGTGGTCCTGGTGAGTCTATGATGGTGGGGACGCATCGAGACCCTCTGAAGGAGAGGGGTCGAAAAATTTTGGAAAAAGTGCGAACGTCACGGTTAACCCTGGTCAGGGGTAGCCAAATATGTCTTGCAGGAAGACTGCCCAACAGTCGGAGAGGTCTTGGATACGTTGACGTCCCCAGCGGTGTTGTTCGAAATACAAAATATGGATTGAAATCGCTAGAATGGAGGAGAAAGAGATACGATTTACTCATGGCTTTTAAAATCTTGAGGAACTTAGTAAAGATTGAAGTGATTTCTTCATTGTGTTGCCATCTAACACGAGACTACCGCTTAGCCGAAGAAGCGCTTTATTTTTCCAAATATCTCGACCACATCTACTAAATGGAAGGCTTTGATCGAGTTGATTTCAATGTATGCCATTCTATGACTGTTCGGTGTGCTGATCTTCGTTGATTTTTCATCCTTCAACTTCAGATTGCTGATGACTTCAAGAACTGGTGAAATGTCAAAAGAGAAAGAAGCCGCGCAAGCGAGCATTAACTTTTTGGTATCATTTCTCTTTAATAATAACGTAAGCATCCACTTCAACAGCGTTCGGACAGTGTTGGCCGCTTAAACGTATGAAGATGCCTCGTCAACTATTTATTGCGGGATTTGAGTAAATCTTCAACGGTTCTCCAAAAATTGGGGAAAAATGACAGCGATTACTTCCCGCGCA